CAGTTGGTTGTTTACACCTTTTGGCTGTTATAGATAATAGTATTAGGAGCCGGGCGCAGTGGCTCACGCTTGTAATCCCAGCACTTTGGGAGGCCGAGGCGGTGGATCATGAGGTCAAGAGATCGAGACCACCCCGGTCAACATGGTGAAACCCCGTCTCTACTAAAAATACAAAAAATTAGCTGGGCATGGTGGTGCGTGCCTGTAATACCAGCTACTCAGGAGGCTGAGGCAGGAGAATTGCCTGAACCCAGGAGGCGGAGGTTGCGGTGAGCCGAGATGGCGCCATTGCACTCCAGCCTGGGTAACAAGAGCGAAACTCCGTCTCAAAAAAAAAATAGTATTAGGAACATTCATCTACAAATCCTTGTGTGGGTTTGTGTTTTCAGTTCTTTTGTGTATATGCCTACAAGTAGAATTTCTGGCTTACATGGTCACTGTATGTTTAACCATTTGAGAAACTGCCAGACTGTTTTCTAAAGCAGCTGTACCATTTTACATTCCGACCAGCAGTGTACAAGGATGCCAGTTTTTCTACATCCTTGCCAAAACTTGCTGGTTTTCTTCTTTTTGGTTTTAGCCTTCCTAGTGAATGTCAAGTATTATCTCATTGTATGTGGGTTTCTTTTTTGTTGTTGTTGTTTTTGAGATGAAGTCTTGATCTGTTGCCTAGGCTGGAGTGCAGTGGTATGATCTCAGCTGACTGCAACCTCCGCCTCCCGGGTTCAAGGAATTATCTTGCCTCAGCCTCCCGAGTAGCTGGGACTACAGGCACACACTACCACGCCTGGCTAATTTTTGTATTTTGAGTAGAGACCAAGTTTCACAATGTTGGCCAGGCTGGTCTTGAACTCCTGACCTCATGATCTGCCCACCTCGACTTCTCAAAGTGTTGGGATTACAGGTGTGAGCCGTCATACCTGGCTCATTGTGGTTTTGATTTGTATTCCCTGTCTTCATTTCTTTCCAATTTAAAAATCTTTTCTTCCTTTTTATCTTCTTTGGATATTTGTTCTTGTGTTTCTTGTAATTTAGTTTTCATTTCTGTAAATGAAGTTTTTCTTTTTATTTTGAATTCTTCTCTAAGTTTTTTCACTTCATTCCCAGTTTTAGTTTGATTTCTGCTGTTCTTTCATGTCTTCTATCATTTTATCAACCTGTTTTGAAATCAGAGGGAGTACTTCTGCTCTTTTTGTGAATCTTTCTGATGTGCTTTGTTGTGTGTGGGCCTGTGACTTCACTCTCTTCTCCCATTTCTCACAGGGCTGTGTGTGATTCCACCTGGTACTTTCCACTATGCATCCTGGGAAGGTTGGAGGATGTGGGCAGCTTTGCTCTTCCTTTGTGGTTTTCATCACATGTTAAAAATATGCAGTTGCTTCCTGAGAATTTCTAGGCTTTCTCTTTTTGTTGTCCCCATCCATCCCATTTTTATTACACTCCCAGCACTTGCCCTTGGTGCAGAGCCCCATCCTGTTGCTTGGTCAGTTCTCAGAGGACACACAGTGGAGCAGAAGATGCCACACCACACACAGGGCATTTGGTGGTGGCATGAGGAACCTGCTCCTGGTGGCAAAGGCTTATGGCTGTAGAAAGAGGGGATATCTGTTTCCAAATAGGTGAAAGCCACTTTCCTTCCCAGTCCCCTCCATCCTCTGTGCACACCCCTCCCCTGTCACTGGGAGGGACTCCTTTGAGTGTCCCTAACAGGCCTGTATTATGGCTCCTGCAGCAAGCATCCATAGGTACCCACTTCTAACTCCTGATGATCCTACCATACGTGCTGATTGAGTCCTGTAGTGGACTCTCCCTGACAGTGAGGGCTCTGAGGTTTGAAAGGATATGTTAAAATCTTCAGAATTATTTTTTTACTTCTTGGTCCTGCTCTATCTCATTATTATTATTTTTTGAGACAGTCTCACTCTCCCATCCGCTTCAGCCTCCTAAAGTTCTGAGAATACAGGCATGAGCCCCACGCCCGGTATTCCTGCTGTATTTTTATGTTTGATATTATTTGTCTCCAGGTTCAAAGAAAATGATGATTGCATTTACTTATGGAGAAGGGAGCATTAGCATTTCCAAACTCTAGGGTTGGAAGCTAACATACATGTTGTAGGAGAGTATGTGGGGACCTTTGGTTTATTGAGGTCATTTCTTAGGCAAGAATCACATCTCCATCTGGGTTGAATGAATGGACTTTGTCATCAAGAAGGCAAATATACCCTGGTTTTCAGAATAGGAGGCCTAGAAGATGCTGGAAGGTACCACCCTCTTTGTTGGGAAGGGGATGTGATGGCAAGCTGGAAGATTCCTCTTCTCATCTGTAAAATGACCGTTTGAAGGTGAAAACCATCCAGGTTTTCTTCAGTATGGAGTCAATCTATGACAGTGACTCTCAGCCCTGGTGATTGGTTCCCAAGGGACATTTGGAGATGCTGATTGTTAAGACCTCGTGTGGGCACTGGCTTTTAATGGGTGAAGCCTAGGGATGCTGTTAAACACCCTGTGGTGTATGGGACGACCCACCACAGAGAATGAACAGAGCCACCGTACCATATGCTAAGGTTGCGCAGCCCTGGTCCAGTGATAGAAGCAATTAAAGATCTGTCTTCAGTGCCCTCACAGAGAACCGTGTCTTTCAGAAAATGTGCTGGATTAGTCTCAAGATCCTTTTTTTTTCCAGATAATTATTTTTAAACCTATTAGGAATGGGGAAGACCCATTCAGGAGAGATATTTCACAAACACATGGCGATTATCAATGCAGATTTCTTGTTGGGGTTCCCCAGCAATGACTGTTATTTCCCTAGTAGAAATGGGGTGTGTGCACTGCTGCACATCACAGGCAGATGTGTGAGACCTTGTTTGTTTTGTGGTGCTGGGAATAGTCATAATTTTAGAGAAGACTTATTGAGGGGCATTTTGTTATTTTAAACAATTTGGTGCAATACAAAGGATTAGACCAGAGCTCCTGAAGTAGGAATCTCCCTCATTTTCAGGGTATTAACTACAGAGGAGTTGAGGGACGGGGACATGGAGGGAACTGATTGAGACAGGTCAAGCTTATACCACCTGGAAGTCAAAACAAAGACAGGGTTAGAGGGACCCCACTGGACATTTTCTGCTCTTGAATCTGGAGAGAGTGTCATTAGGCCAAAATTGGCATCCTCTCTCTTCTGCTGTTTATCAGAAGCCACCTTCTCATTTGTTGTCCTTTGTTTTAAACAGGGCAGACCTCCTTATGCTGCTTCAGCAGAAGAAGTGGCCAAAGAACTTAAGTCAAAATCTGGGGAATCGAAGTCCTCTGCTATGTCTTCAGACGGGTCCCTGGCTGAAAACGGAGTGATGGCCGAGGAGAAACCCGCTCCCCAGATGAACGGGAGCACGGGTGACACCAGGGCCCCCAGCCACTCTGAAAGTGCCTTGAATAATGACTCTAAAACGTGCAATACAAATCCTCATTTAAATGCACTAAGTACAGACAGCGCTTGCCGCAGAGAAGCTGCTCTGGAGGCAGCTGTCTTAAATAAAGAAGAGTAAACTTATTTTTTATAGAGGGTGAAGGATGCTGGAAGGGTAAAGATTTAGGAATATCTGGAGAGAGAGAGCCTGCAGTTATGTACATTTTGTCCTTTCCGTAAGAGAAAAATGAGGACTTTGGAAATTCAGATCCCTCTTTGATATCAGAGATTTAAACAACACATTTTTAGTTTTAACCAGTTGTAGTCAAAATGCTACAATTAAACAAAAAAGAGAAAGAAAATGAAGAGCATTTGACTCCCGCACTTAAAATGAAGTACACATAAAGTTTAAACTGGTTATGACAAAAGCCTATAGTTGTGTTTCTTGAACTATAAAGAAAACAAATTTTGGCAGTCTTTAAGTATATATAGCTTAAAATATAATTTTTAGCATTTGGCACCATATGTATGCCATTATATTTGATTTTGCATTACTGTTTCACAATGAAGCTTTCTTTAAGGCTTTGATTTTTATGATTATGAAAGAAATAAGGCACAACCACAGTTTTTCTTTCTTAAATTTCATCACTGTTGATGTGGTTCTTTTGTGTTAAAAAAAAAAGTGCAACTATCAAAACTAAAAAATTATAGAGTAATATTGCCGTTCTGCTGATTTTAAATATACAATACATCATACATACTTTACAAGCAAGTTAAATGGAGATAAAGTTGAAATCATAGAAGATGCAAATGACCTTTCAAAATCAACACAATGTGTTCTGAAACTTCGTGACTAATACCATGCATCTGTGATCAATGAACTATGTGGTTTTGAATCGGATGTAGACCATTAGTACTACTACTTGAGCTAAACTTCTGCATGGTTCATAATTTTTAAAGTGTGTAGTTAATATGCATGTTATCGTCCTTTCTTCCATTCTTACCAGTATGTGCCCATTTGCAAAACAAAAATGCTAATAATCAGTAATAGTCCTATAAAAGATGTTAACTCTGTTTAGTCATTGACTGATCTTGCTCTAACCTTAAAATTTTGTGATTATTGACCTCTGTTGCATTTATTCTAAAGCCCCTTCCAAAATTATCTAGCCGTTTCGAATATCAACATTACCCTGGTGTATTCACTGCTGTATGCATTATTGTTCTTTGTTGCTGTTTTATGCCTTCATATTAGCAAATATGAAATTCTGTGAAAAAAAAAACCCTTTGATCTTTAAAAAGAAAAAAAAAAACCACCCCCCCTCTGTAGCAGGAAACAAATTGCTTGTTCTTGAGAACTTTCCCATCAAGAATTTAGTAGAAGCAGGTATACTTCGATCATTTTGATGTTTTTGTTAATGTTTCCAAACAATGTACTTTGAAATCAGAATCACTTCTTATCGTTTTCAGATACTTCTGATGCTCTTCATCACATTAGTGATCAGAAATGAGGTGTAATTCCCCAACCCCTGCCCGCAAGAGCTAAGTAGGATCTTACTGTAAGTTGAAGGGAGTTTTGCCCTAACTCATGGATTGTGCAAGAATGAACTGCTGTTGGGTTTGATTGACTGTCGATGGATTGTGGTGTGGTGTATCTGAAGGCTATTGAATGCAACTTACAATGCTTAATAAAAATCTTTATTCTTTTAGTATAAAGTATGGCGTGGCTTTTAAATTCACTTGTAAAAGCTAATTTTATCGAGGTTTAATTCAAATAGAAACAATTACTGAAAAGCTTGATCAGATAACCAAAGTTTAAAAATATTGTACCCTTTCAAAGTAATTCCAGGTTTCCGGCTTAGAGGAACATTAATACATGATTAATTTGTTTGATAGTTAAGTTTCAAGCAACCAAAGGGATTAAAAAAAATTCTCTCTGATAAAGCAGACTTACAGAAAACGTTTTCTTAAGCCCCAAGGACGCAGTAAATTTGACTCCACCATGTTTTAAAAGCTGGATGTTACAAGTGTAGCCGATTTTCACTCCATCCTTCTGACCGAAGGCTCTTCTCTGCAACCTGATAGGAGGTCCCTGTACCCAGGTCCGCCGAGCGCCTGGTGAGACGCTCCCCGTGCTGCCCTCTAGTGGGGGCTGGTGGGCTAACGGCGCTGGAGGCGGCCAAAGGAAGCACGGCGATCCCACTCCAGGGAGGGGCTGGCGCTCGCCCCGGGGTGCGTTTCCTTCCTGTGAAAGGGCGGGGCGGGGCCTTGCGTGGCGCTTCCCGGTCCGCCACGGCGCAGGCCCGGGTGCGTGCGCAGCCCGCGGGGCGGGGCCGTGTCGATGGGGCCTGCTCTCGGGTGTTTCCTCCCGGCGGCCGAGACCTAACCAATGAGGCCTGTCCTGTTTGCGTGGCCGGCGCCCGGCTCAGCAGAGACCAGTCTTTTCCGAGACAGAATGAGGAGACCCCTGGAGCCCGAGTCCCAGCAAGGCCCGAACCGAGCCAATTTCTCCACCTAACACCCCGAGAGCTCTCCTGGTCCTGGCTGTTCAGACCCAAGACGAATTTACCCCTGCTTTTTATGGGGTGGGCTTTCAGAGTTTGAAGGAAAGGAAACCAGCCTCACTCACACCAGGGCCTCTTCCCACCCTGACTCCTCCGTCCCTGACGGTGGCTAGGTGTTTCCCGGCCATGGCTGAGCCCCTCTGCGGCAGCCTCCCGGTGGCGGGCCAGCCAGCCCTTCTCTGTGCCGTGGGAAGATGGGGGCGCCCAGACGTCTCCGTCTTTAAAAATCACCGTTCTACTGGGACTGGGGATCCTGCCCGTGACGGGAACAAGTCAAACTCACTTTGGGTCGCGAGTGCCTGGCAGAGGCACAGCGTTTTGGAGGAGCACTTTTCAGGCCCACCAGCTTCCATCACCCATTGCAGTGCCTCCCCCACCGTAACAACCACGCAGTTTTCTTCCCTCTCTCTAGGGGCAGTTCCACCCCACTTGAGAATGGCCAAACTGACTGGGGACAATCCTCTGGCTTCAGGAGGGGAGATGGACGGGCTTCTGAACAGTACAGTCTCAGCAGCAGGAGAGCGCGCCATGACAGGCAGGTGCTCCTTCCTTCCGGTGGCTTTCATCTCTTAGTTGGAATTGCTGTAGGTGAGAGAGCAGCACAGCGTGCTCTAGGTCACTCTCAGCAGGGACTAGGCTGGAACCCAATCTTTAGCTCTAAGTTGGGTCTGTCTACCTGCTCCTAAGGCCCCAGTAGGTGCAGGCTCGGGAAGGAGAGAGGAAGGGAGAGGGTGCTGGGGCTCCAGCGACCCTGTGGCTGGAACAAAGAGGCCAAGGACACCCCTCCTGGCTGGAGCCATGCTTGCCACTCCTCCCATACCACCGGAATTGCAGAGGAAGGCCCAAGGGCGATGCTGATATGGGCCCCGGGGCCAGTGGCTCTGGTGACGCAGGTGCCGGCTGGACTAAATGGTGATGCTGGTGTTTCTCCTTCCTGGCAGCATGGTATCCTGGGGCAAGTCATATGCTCTCCTCCCTGGCCATTTAGTCTCTTCCTTTTCAAAAAATAGGTTTTACTGATTTTTTTCTTGTTTCAAAAGCACTATGTGTTTATTGTGGTGAATTTAATAAATGCTGGATACACAAAAAGAAAAGAAATCCCCAGTAATTCCTCCATCGGGAGACACCTGTTTTTAACATTTGGTCTCTCTCCTATGCAATATATATTTTTTCATATACAAAAATAATCATGTTGTTAATATTTTGTAACATTTTCCCCACTTAGCATCATTTGATGATTGCCTTTCCCTACCATTCCATATCCTGCCATAGTCCCGCAGACTCCACGGTGGGGCTGCATCAAAACGTATGTCTTTCCCCACTGTTCAGGAATCACTTAGGGAGAGTTTGCGTCAGGCCCAGCCCTAAGCCCCATGGGACAGATGTCAAGACCCCTGCCTTTCTGGCATTTACATTTGAGTAGGAGGACAACATACATGTGACAAATAATATTTCAAACAAGAAAATGAGAAAAAGAAGACTAGGAGATGGGTGGCATGAGCGGGTGATGCAGCCATGAGTGGAACCTATCTTGGAATACAGGTCTGGGCCAGGAGCAGCTGATAGAGCACCCGGCCTAGGGGAATCCATGGAGAGCAGAGAAGCCCATGGCCACCCTGAGGGCAGGGCTTGCTGTGTCCCCCAGTGCTGTGGTCTGTTGGAGGCTTTGAGGCAGGCCGGATTGTGCTTGGATGCCCAAGTTGGGCTCCAGATGTCCATGCTACCCTGTAGGTGAGTTTTGTGAGGACCACTGTCATTATTCCTGGTTAGCATTTCACCAGAAGGATCTCCTAGTGGGGAAGGGTGAGGGAAGGGAGTCTTGTGGTGCTGGTGCCAATTTAGCCCCGAAACGCTGCTTGGTATATGGGGTCCAGGAGCTGTTTATACCAGCCTGGCTGCTGGGCACAGTCAAGGCACTGGTGTTTGCTAATTTGACAGGTTAAAAAATCGGTTGTGGCCGGGCGCGGTGGCTCACGCCTGTAATCGCAGCACTTTGGGAGGCCGAGGCGAGTGGATCACGAGGTCAAGAGATCGAGACCATCCTGGTCAACACAGTGAAACCCCATCTCTACTGAAAATACAAAAAATTAGCTGGGCACAGTGGCGCGTGCCTGTAGTCCCAGCTGCTCAGGAGGCTGAGGCAGGAGAATTGCCTGAGCCCAAGAGGTGGAGGTTGCAGTGAGCCGAGGTCGCGCCATTGCACTCCAGCCTGGGTAACAAGAGCGAAACTCCGTCTCAAAAAAAAAAAAAAAAATCGGTTGTGTGACTTTGATTTCTAGTGAGGGTGAACACTTTACCTCTTACATTTAATTTTCCCATAGCCTTCATTTGTCAATTGACAGGGCACTTCTAATGTCTTTCTTGGCTGTTTCATGATCTCCCAAACAATCAGGCCAAAGGCAAGAATTTGAAGAAATAATTCACTGGCTGGGCACGGTGGCTCACACCTGTAATCCCAGCACTTTGGGAGGCCAAGGCAGGCGGATCACCTGAGGTCGGGAGTTCGAGACCAACCTGACCAATATAGAGAAACCCTGTCTCTACTAAAAATACAAAAAATTATCTGGGCCTGGTGGTGTATGCCTGTAATCCCAGCTGCTCGGGAGGCTGAGGCAAGAGAATCACTTGAACCCAGGAGGTGGAGGTTGCCGTGAGCTAACATCGTGCCATTGCACTCCAGCCTGGGCAACAAGGGCGAAACTCCGTTTCAAAAAAAAAAAGAAATAATTTACTTTATCTTCCTCTATATCATCACCAACAAGGACCAAGGTAGTGCTAGGCTGCTCTGCCTCCCAGGACACCCCCTCCTTGCCCTGCATTCCTTCTGCCTGCTCAGAGGGAGCCCAACTCTGCACTGCATGGGGCAGACAGCATAATGCCAGGTATTTTATGTTGGATACTAACCTTAGGGGTGACTCATCACTCTCTCAATTTTATTCTACTTTCAGTCCTGAGAATGCACTAATTTCTTGTTAGCCCCAACTCCATACCCCTACTCACTCACTATACATTGGACAAAAGTCCTTTGCTACTTAGCTCCCCATGCTATGGAGTAGACGGTTCAAAGGCCTTTTTGCCAAGAGCCTGCTGCTGGCCACCCTGCCAGCCCTGCCCTCATCCTCCCCACCTTGGTCCCCAAGCTATCTGCTACTCCTCCCTGTACCCCAGGGAAGCCTCCAGTCCTGGCGCTAACAGCTCAGGCTAAGTTGACCCAAAGACCTGCAGATGGTACAAAACAGGCTTTTCATTAAGATGCTTTGCCCTATGCTGAACTGGCTGTGGGACTTCACCAGAGTTTGGAAAGGACAGCCATGTGAAAACACACACAAGAAAAAATAAAGTGAAAATACAACAGCAGTGGTAGTAAGTTCTATGAAGGACAAATGCAGAGGAAATGAGGAATTTACATGGGTGGGGGGGCAGGAAGGTATCAGGGAAGCCTCTCTCAAGAATCATCTAGAGGGCAGATGGGAGCTACCCAAGCAGATTCCAGGCAACTTGGGTGGACCAGGATGGCTTTTTCCCTTGCTGTGCCCAGCAAGCTCCATCAGTTCAGGAAGCAAACAGCGGGAAGCACCTGTGCAGACCCATCCTGACCTCATGAAACCATGCCTACTCTTGGCATCTGTGCATGTCCATCCCCACAAACTCAACTGATGCTAGTATGGGCTGTAGGGAGGGTCACATCAGTCCCAGTTTGCCCAGGATAGCCTCAGTTTGCTCCTGTTCTGGCGCTTTATTAACAGCACCCTTTTGGATAGTAGTAAATCATGTGGTCACCTGGCTCAGAGACTTCTGTCCACAAGCTCACTGCATCCAAACATCACAGGACCATCCTAGAGATGGTCAAAGAGGAGGGTCACTTTCATACCTGTCAGAGAAGCCCAGATGGCTTAAAAAATTTCCCCAGGTGGGCCGGGCACGGTGACTCACGCCTGTAATCCCAGCACTTTGGGAGGCCAAGGCGGGTGGATCATGAGGTCAAGAAATCGAGACCATCCTGGTCAACATGGAGAAACCCCGTCTCTACTAAAAATACAAAAAATTAGCTGGGCACGGTGGTGCATGCCTGTAACCCCAGCTACTCAGGAGGCTGAGGCAGGAGAATTGCCTGAACCCAGGAGGCAGAGGTTGTGGTGAGCCAAGATTGTGCCATTGCACTCCAGCCTGGGTAACAAGAGCAAAACTCCGTCTCAAAAAAAAAAAATTTCCCCAGGTACTCCAAGAAGGGACCAGTCTTTGAATTTTCTATGCACTGACCAAATTGACTCATCTGTCACAAATTCATATCCAGCCTTGAGCTAGTATTTCTTTTCTAACATCTTCCATGCCCATCAATTATTACTTACCTGTCTCTTGCTGTGGCCTATGGGATCTATGGAGGTAGGAATGCTTCTGCCTTGTTTGCTCTATGAAACCTGCATTTAGTTGTGTGCCAACAAAGTAACCTAGAATAAATGGACAAATTTCTAGACATACAAAACTTAACTATACTGAATGACGAAGAAACAAACAATTTCAACAGACCTACAACTAGTAAGAAGATTAGATCCCTAATCAAAAACCTCACAACAAAGAAAAGCTCAGAAACAGATGGCTACACTGGTGAATTGTATCAAATATTTAAAGAAAAATTAACAGTAGTCCTTTTCAAACTCTTACAGAAAATGGAAGAGGAGGGAATACTTTCAAGCTTTTTCGATGAGGCCATCATTACCCTGATACCAAAACCAGACAAAGATACTAGAAGAAAACTACAGATTAATATTCCTTATGAATACTGATGTCAAAATCTTCAACAAAATACTTGCAAACTGAATTCAGTAACATATTAAAAGGATCATATGCCATGACCAAGTGAGACTTAATTCTGAGAATGCAAGGATGGGTCAACATCCAAAAATCAATCAATGTAATACACATGTTAACAGAATGAGCAATAAAAACCTACATGGTCATCTCAATTAATGTAGAAAACATTTAATAAAATTTAACACCCGTTCTTTTCCTTTTTTTTTTTTGAGATGGAGTTTCAGTCTCATTGCCCAGGCTGGAGTGCAATGGCAGGAACTTGGTTCACCACAACCTCTCCCTTCCAGGTTCAAGTGATTCTCCTGCCTCAGCTTCCCAAGTATCTGGGATTACAGGCATGTGCCACCATGCCCTCAGCTAATTTTTGTATTTTTAGTAGAGACAGGATTTCTCCATGTTGGTCAGGCTAGCCTTGTACTCCCAACCTCAGGTGATCCATCCGCCTTGGCCTCCCAAAGTGCTAGGATTACACGTGTGAGCCACTGCACCCGGCCCAACCCCGCTTCTTGATTAAAAAATTAAATACACTAGGAATAGAAGGAAACTTCCTCAACATAGTAGAGGCCATATGTGAAAAGCCAACAGCTAAAATCTTTCTCAATGGTGAGAAGCTGAAGCATTTCCTGTAAGATCAGGAAGAAGGCAAAGATGCCCACTCTCATTACTTCTATTTAACATAGTACTGGAAGTCCTAGCCAGAGCAATTACACAAGAAAAAGAAAAAAAGGCATCCAAATTGGAAATGAAGTAAAATTATCTGTTCACAGATGACATGATCTTTTATTATCATGTAAGATCATCAAGATATAGGAACCCTAAAGGGTCCATACACACAAAACCACCCCAAAACCTATGAATTTAGCCAAGTGCAAGATACAAAATCAGCACATGAAAATTAGTTTTGTTGCTGGGCACAGTGGCTCACGCCTGTAATCCCAGCACTTTGGGAGGCCGAGGTGGGTGGATCACGAGGTCACGAGATCGAGACCATCCTGGTCAACATGGTGAAACCCCATCTCTACTAAAAATACAAAAAGTTAGCTGGGCATGGTGGCGCGTGCCTATAATCCCAGTTACTCAGGAGGCTGAGGCAGGAGAATTGTCTGATCCCAGGAGGCGGAGGTTGCAGTGAGCCAAGATTGCACCATTGCACTCCAGCCTGGGTAGCAAGAGCGAAACTCCGTCTAAAAAAAAAAAAAAAAAAAAGAAAATTAGTTTTGTTTCCATACACTAACAATGAACAATCTTAAAACAGCCAGGCCCAGTGGCTCACACCTGTAATCCCAGCACTTTGGAAGGCCAAGGCAGGTGGATCACCCGAGGTCAGGAGTTCAAGACCAGCCTGGCCAACATGGTGAAACACTGTCTCTACTAAAAATACAAAAATTAGTAAGGTGTGGTGACACATGCCTGTATCCCAGCTACTCAGGAAGCTGAGGCAGGAAAATCACCTGAGTCTGGGGAGTGGAGGCTGCAGTGAGCTGAGATCACGCCACTGCACTGTACCTTGGGTGACAGAGCAAGACTCTAAAATCTAAAAAGGAAATTATCAGAAAAAAATCCATTTATAATAGCATCAAAAAGTATAAAATAGGAATAAACTTAGCCAAGGAGACAAAAAACTTGCACACTGAAAACGGAAAACTACCAAACTGCTGAAAGCAATTTAAAAAGACACAAATAAATGAAAAGACTGCCTGTGTCTATGGATTATAAGACTTATTGTTAAAAGGTCAATCTCTTAAAAGTAATCTACAGATTTACTGCAATCCTTATGAAAATCCCAACAATGTTTTCTTGCAGAAATAAATTTTCTAAAGGAAAAATCCATTCTGAAAATCATATGGAATCTCAGGGGACCCCAAGTCGCCAAAATAGTCTTTAAAAAAGGAACAAAGTTGGAGATCTCACACTTCCTGATTTCACACTAAGTATAAAGCTACAGTAATCAAAACTGTGTGGTGCTGACATTAAGACAGACATATAGACAGACAAAATACAACGGAGAGCCAAGAAATAAACCCTCACATATGTATGACCAAATGATTTTCAACAAGGGACTAAGACCATTCAGTGAGAAAAGGACAATCTTTCTAACATGATGCTGTGAAAACAAGATATTCACATACAAAACAATGAAGTTAAGTCCTTACTTTACCTCATTTACAAAAATTAACTTAAAACAAATCAAAGACCTAAATGTAAGCATTAAAACTGCAAAACTCACAGAGAAAACAGGGAAAATGCTTCATAACGTTAAATTGACAATGATTACTTGGATGTGAAACCAAAAACACAGGCCAAACAAGAGAAAAAATAGATGATGTAGACTTTACCAAAATTTAAAACTCTGCAAAGGACACAATTAACAGAGTGAAAAGGCTATCTATGGAATGAGAGAAAATGTTCCCAAATCATATATTCCGAGTAGCTGGGATTACAGGTGCCCGCCACCGTGCCCAGCTAATTTTTGTACTTCTAGTAGAGGCAGGGTTTCACCATCTTGGCCAGGCTGGTCTCAAACTCCTGACCTTGTGATCCACCTGCCTCAGCCTCCCAAAGTGCTGGGATTATAGGTGTGGGCCACCATGCCTGGCCCTCCAACAGTTATTTGCATGCTGATGTTCATAGCAGCATTATTCACATAGCCAAAGGATGAAAGCCATCCAAGTACCCACTGGCAGATTGATGGAGAAACAAAGTGTGGTACAAGGAGATATTATTCAGTCTTAAAAAGGAAGCAAATTTTAATCCATGCTTTATGGAGATGAAACTTGAGGACAGTATGTTAAGTGAAATAAACCAGTCACAAAAGGACAAATACTGTATGATTCCACTTATATGAGATACCTAGAGGAGTCAAATTCATAGAGACAGCAGAATGGTGGCTGCCAGGGGCTGGAGGAGGGGAAACTTAGTATTTATAAGGGACAGTTTCCACTGGAGACCATGGAATAATTTCTGCAGAGGTATGGTGGTAGTTGCACAACAGTGTGAATGTACTTAATACCACCAAACTGTGCAATAAAAATGATTAAAATGGTAAGTTTTATATTATGTATATTTAATCCCAATTTTACCAAAAATCGTGCACTTGCCCTCAACACATGTTGAGTGAATGTGTGAACCACGGGCCCTGGAGCAGGCTGTGCAGCTGGCTGGGTAGGAAGAGGAATAAAACACATCCATCCTGCAGCAGCACTGTCATTGTAGCACCAGGGTGCAGGTGCAGTGGAGGACCTGGAGCTTGTGAGCCCACCCATGCTGCACCTGCACAATGCCAGCCTGACTGAGGTTGTGGGTGGGGACCTCTTGACACTGGCATAGCCTCCTAAACACTGAACTGCAGCTGAGCCCTGGGCAACAGGGAGTGTGTGGTGGGCAGGCACTGAGGCACAGGACCACATAAGCAGAGGAGGCCATTGAGATGGGGCCAAAGCTAATGAGATGTGAGGGGCAGCAAGATGCTGCCCAAACTTCCAAGGCCATTGCCCTCCTCCTCTCTGGGGCCTTTCCAGGCAAGAGTGAGTTCCCTGTGCACCTTGCCCTCTCTGAGTGGTCCTGTTCTGGCCTTTGCCCCCAGCTCACCTTCTC